TTTGTGGAATTTCTTTCCTCCTTAATGCATTTGAGCCAATCAGTTGTGTTGTGACAAGGTAGGGGGGGGTGGTACACAGAAGATAGCCCTATTTGGTGAAAGACCAAGTCCATATTATGGCAAGAACAGCTCAAATAAGAAAAGAGAATCAACAGTCCATCATTACTTTAAGACATGAAGGTCAGTCAATACGGAACATTTCAATAACTTTGAACGTTTCTTCAAGTGCAGTTGCAAAAACCATCAAGCGCTATGATGAAACTGGCTCTCATGAGGACCGCCACAGGAATGGAAGACCCAGATTTACCTCTGCTGCAGAGGATAAGTTCATTAGAGTTACCAGCCTTAGAAATTGCAGCCCAAATAAATGCTTCACAGAGTTCAAGTAACAGACACATCTCAACATCAACTGTTCAGGCCTTCATGGTCGAATTGCTGCAAAGAAACCACTACTAAAGGACACCAATAATAAGAAGAGACTTGCTTGGGCCAAGAAACATGAGCAATGGACATTAGACCGGTGGAAATGTGTCCTTTGGTCTGGAGTCCAAATTTGAGATTTTTGGTTCCAACCGCCGTGGCTTTGTGAGACGCAGTGTGGGTGAACGGATGATCTCCGCATGTGTATTTCCCACCGTAAAGCATGGAGGAGGAGGTGTTATGTTGTGGGGGTGCTTTGCTGGTGACACAGTCTGTGATTTATTTAGAATTCAAGGCACACTTAACCATCATGGCTACCACAGCATTGTGCAGCAATATGCCATCCCATCTGGTTTGGGCTTGGTAGGACTATCATTTGTTTTTCAACAGGACAATGACCCAACACACCTCCAGGCTGTGTAACGGCTATTTTACCAAGAAGGAGAGTGATGGAGTGCTGCATCAGATGACCTGGCCTCCACAATCCCCCGACCTCAAACCAATTGACATGGTTTAAGATTAATCGGATGGCAGAGTGAAGGAAAAGCAGCCAACAAGTGCTCAGTCTATGTGGGAACTCCTTCAAGGCTGTTGGAAAAGCATTCCAGGTTAAGCTGGTTGAGAGAATGCCAAGAGTGTGCAAAGCTGTCATCAAGGCAAAGGGTGGCTATTTGAAGAATCTCAAATATAAAATATATTTTGTTTAGCACTTTTTTGGTTACTACATGATTCCATATGTGTTATTTCATAGTTTTGATGTTTTAACTATTATTCTGCAATGTAGAAAATAGTAAAAATAAAGAAAAACCCTTGAATGAGTAGTTGTGTCCAAACTTTTTACTGGTACTGTATATACAGTGGGGAGAACAAGTATTTGATACACTGCCGATTTTGCAGGTTTTCCTACTTACAAAGCATGTAGAGGTCTGTAATTTTTATCATAGGTACACTTCAACTGTGAGAGACAGAATATAAAACAAAAATCCAGAAAATCACATTGTATGATATTTAAGTAATTAATTTGCATTTTATTGCATGACATAAGTATTTGATCACCTACCAACCAGTAAGAATTCCGGCTCTCACAGACCTGTTAGTTTTTCTTTAAGAAGCCCTCCTGTTCTCCACTCATTACCTGTATTAACTGCACCTGTTTGAACTCGTTACCTGTATAAAAGACACCTGTCCACACACTCAATCAAACAGACTCCAACCTCTCCACAATGGCCAAGACCAGAGAGCTGTGTAAGGACATCAGGGATAAAATAGTAGACCTGCACAAGGCTGGGATGGGCTACAGGACAATAGGCAAGCAGCTTGGTGAGAAGGCAACAACGGTTGGCGCAATTATTAGAAAATGGAAGAAGTTCAAGATGACGGTCAATCACCCTCGGTCTGGGGCTCCATGCAAGATCTCACCTCGTGGGGCATCAATGATCATGAGGAAGGTGAGGGATCAGCCCAGAACTACACGGCAGGACCTGGTCAATGACCTGAAGAGAGCTGGGACCACAGTCTCAAAGAAAACCATTAGTAACACACTACGCCGTCATGGATTAAAATCCTGCAGCGCACGCAAGGTCCCCCTGGTCAAGCCAGCGCATGTCCAGGCCCGTCTGAAGTTTGTCAATGACCATCTGGATGATCCAGAGGAGGAATGGGAGAAGGTCATGTGGTCTGATGAGACAAAAATTGAGCTTTTTGGTCTAAACTCCACTCGCCGTGTTTGGAGGAAGAAGAAGAATGAGTACAACCCCAAGAACACCATCCCAACCGTGAAGCATGGAGGTGGAAACATCATTCTTTGGGGATGCTTTTCTGCAAAGGGGACAGGACGACTGCACCGTATTGAGGGGAGGATGGATGGGGCCATGTATCGCAAGATCTTTTCCAACAACCTCCTTCCCTCAGTAAGAGCATTGAAGATGGGTCGTGGCTGGGTCTTCCAGCATGACAACGACCCGAAACACCCAGCCAGGGCAACTAAGGAGTGGCTCCGTAAGAAGCATCTCAAGGTCCTGGAGTGGCCTAGCCAGTCTCCAGACCTGAACCCAATAGAAAATCTTTGGAGGGAGCTGAAAGTCTGTATTGCCCAGCGACAGCCCCGAAACCTGAAGGATCTGGAGAAGGTCTGTATGGAGGAGTGGGCCAAAATCCCTGCTGCAGTGTGTGCAAACCTGGTCAAGACCTACAGGAAACGTATAATCTCTGTAATTGCAAACAAAGGTTTCTGTACCAAATATTAAGTTCTGCTTTTCTGATGTATCAAATACTTATGTCATGCAATAAAATGCAAATTAATTACTTAAAAATCATACAATGTGATTTTCTGGATTTTTGTTTTAGATTCCGTCTCTCACAGTTGAAGTGTACCTATGATAAAAATTACAGACCTCTACATGCTTTGTAAGTAAGAAAACCTGCAAAATCGGCAGTGTATCAAATACTTGTTCTCCCCACTGTATATTTTAAGAATATTTGTTTAATCCTTTTCTTTTGCCAACGATTTAGCTGTGTTGCTCTTTTAGCCACACTGCACTACCATCCACCCAGTTCACTGGCCTATGGGGTTTTACCCTGTCAAATCAGAGCTTTACTGGTTGGCTAAGGCTGGCCTGGGGTGCATGTGCTGACATCTTATGGGAAAATTACAAGTTGATAGCTGTCTGTTAGCTGTTTGTTGTTTTTACGGCACTGATGTCCTGTAAGTAAGCCACTAGTCTGACACTGTGTTATATAGCTACAGGTGACACACTGACTGGAGCTAGTGGGGCCTGTGTGTAGTGACATGGATCAAAACCATCACCAAGGTCATCTATGCTACATTCATATCTGATGCTGTTGGTTATCTCCATATCTCTCTCACACACTCCATTCTGCCATCTGTTGCAGTGAAAGACTGGATATGTACAGAGAGTTTACCCTTCCACTTGATAGTTCACTGTGTCTGGGTCTCAATACTCTTATTTGGCTCCCTCTCCTTGCCTCCTGTCCTTCATGATCAATTATAGGTGAATGGATTAGATATGGTAGATTTCCACCATATAGCTCTCACCTGTCAAAGGAGGCATTTCTAAAGACACAGACAGTTTTACATTTTAGCAGACGCTTTTATCCACAGCGACATACAGGCACATCACTTAGTCGGCTCGGGGATTCGAACCAGCAACCTTTCGGTTACCGGCCCAACACTCTTAACCGCTAGGCTACCTGCCGCAGCTTGTGTGTTGTTTTGAGTCTCTCTCCAGTCATGTCAGATCAGTGATGGGATGAAGTTGCCTGGCTACCCAGACTCCTTGCTTCAGCCAAACGCTATGCCACGCCCATGGACGTACCTCCCCAATCTTGTAATTGTCCCATAAGTTCTCAGCACATGCATCCCAGGCCAGCCTTAGTAGACCTAGCCAACGAGTAAAGCTCTGATTTGACAGAGTAAAAACCCATAGGCCAGTGAACTGGGTGGATGGGAGTGTAGAGCAGCGGAAGAATTTAGTGTGAGTCATCAGGCTAGGGATAAAGTGGGATGGTATGAGGAAAGGATGTGTTCTTGAAGAGAATAAGGCCTGGTCCAACTGGGTCGTATTCACTATCAGCCATATGGAAGCAAACAGGACAAAACGGGGAAGGACCTACCTGTCCAATAAGAAGCGCTTGTATTCGTTGCAAAATGTTTTCCTACTTTTTGCACTAAGGAATACGACCCAAGTTGTTTAGTGAGAGCCAATGATGTATGGGCAGGGCAGACGTTTGTAATGGTTGTGCCTGTTAACCGGACCCAACCACTCTAAAGAGGGCGACTGGAGGCACACATGGTAGTCCTAAAACCTTCTGACTGCACGGCTTCCCCTTCTCTGTCCTCTCCACTCCACTGGCTATCAATGTTGCAGTGCCACCAAGTACTGTATATTCAACAGTGTGCAGATATCTGTCGGTTTCAATAGAACACAGAATCTCAGCAAGGAAATAATGTCTGTTAGTTAGATTTTTGGCATATGTTGTCTATTTTACCTTTTGCTGTTCTATTTATTGCGTCAAGATCATCGTACTCAAGTGTCATTGAGGGGCTATTCAAATACCCTGCTCACGTGCTGCATGGGTTACATACAGGCTTTCAGAGAAACAGCGCCTCTACGCTGTAAAAAAAAAAAACACGAGGCTTCAGATTGTGAGGTAGGCAATACTAGGCATCAATGAGGAGCACTCTGCCAGTGTCAAACCCCTCCCCTCCCTCTTTTCCCCCTCCCCTCTCTCCCCCTCGTGTTGAGCGGGAGCGGATGGGAACATCGAGTACCTTCAGCACATTTTTCACATTCCCCTATGGGGGTCTCAGCCCCCCTACACACACACACATCTCACCTCTGGGCAGAGGTGGTGGTAAACTCAGTAGCACGGTAGGGGTTTAGGGGAGCTAATGTCAGACTCAGAATACTGCCCATGAATATACAGTACATCAAATAATGTATACTGTACATCAAAGAATAACAAAACATGATCAAATGTATTAACCTTTCTCTTCACTCTTCCTGTTTTTCTGCTGCTCTCCTACTATTTATTTCTTGCTTTCTCTCTCTCTCCCGCAGAAGTGTGCGTGTGGGGAGCAGTGAGGATGACGGAGTACAAGTTGGTAGTGGTGGGGGCTGGAGGTGTGGGGAAGAGTGCACTCACCATCCAGCTTATCCAGAACCACTTTGTGGATGAATACGACCCCACCATAGAGGTATGTACTGTGTGTGTCCAGAGCTTCTGTCCACATCTGCAGCTGATCACTGTGGGTGATGTCATGCGGATGTGGCCCCTCCCCTGGTCTGCAGTGAACGGAGTAGAGTAGGCTAGTGTGACTCTGCTGGCTCTTTGGAGAGACCACTGTTCACTAGGGCAGTGATGATACCAGTATCTCAATATTTTTTCCATGGCAAAAGTGAAAACACGAAGCAGAGTACTATTTGGTCCTTTTAAAACCTGCTGTATGCAGAGTATTGTGTGCTATAGCTTGGAAAATAAATAAACGTGACTCTGGATGACAACATAAAGATGTTTGTTTCCAACATTAGGGCTGTTTTCCTAAAACAGTTTTGTTTCCTTTCCATGACTCTAACGAGTATCGCGATACTGGTATTGTCCCGGCCCTACTGTTCACTACAAAATCTCATTACCAAATATGGCTACTTACTATCAATTCAATTCTCCAAATGTTTTTTTGATTCCACCGCTACTCCTAATTTCATCCCCCTCCGTTCACAATAAGAGAGGGAGAGAGAGATTTGGAGAGACAGAGAGAGAGAGAGAACAGGAGAGTGAGTCTGTCTGCTTTCTCCACTCCCCTCTCTCTCTCTCTCTCTCTCTCTCTCTCGTTCTCACCACGCCTGCCTCTGGCCAGACAATGTATTTTTTGTGTGTGTGCATTCCTGGCCCCTATGCACTAGCACACAAAGGCCCTGCACCACATGTTTGTGTCTGTGTGTTAGGACGCTAAACATTTGCCCTGCTACTCTGCCCTTTTGATACCACTACCTCTTCCCTGGCCAGTCACACAGCATAGGGATTTAGCATATATATCAACCAGCACACTACACACTCCACTACATGTGTGTGGTGGGTGTGAGAAAAACGATCAACTAGGTCCCAGGGTCATGCTTTAGGCCTAGTCAAGAAACGTCTGTAAATGGTTAGTTATTATATTGAACACGCATCAATACGTCATTACATATGTTAATTTAGTCAATAATGGAATTTATTGGATGTTCCATCCAGTCCTTCATCACTATGTTTCTTACAGCTATCTGAAACCTAACAAGGTGGCAGGTAGCCTAGCAGTTCAGAGCGTCGGGCCAGTAACCGAAAGGTCGCTGGTTTGAGTCCCAGAGCCAACTAGGTGAGAAAACTGTCTGTGCTCTTGATCAAGGCTCTTAACCCTAATTGCTCTGGAGAAGAGCGTCTGCTAAATGACTTAAATGTCAATGGTAACAAGTGTGCAACAGCGGTTGAGTTTATTGGCAACTGTGGCTGTGGGCCGATTCACTTACACCCATCCTTAAGTGAGTGTGAGCAAGTACACACTTGGGTAAAGAATAAGGAGGCAGCCTGGCTGTAGCAGTGTAACTGGAGGATATCCCTCCCCCTGTTTTAGGACTCGTACAGGAAGCAGGTGGTGATTGACGGGGAGACGTGTCTGCTGGACATCCTGGACACTGCAGGTCAGGAGGAGTACAGCGCCATGAGGGACCAGTACATGAGGACAGGGGAGGGCTTCCTCTGTGTCTTCGCCATCAACAACACCAAGTCCTTCGAGGACATCCACCAGTACAGGTGTGTGTGTGTGTGTGTGTGTGTGTGTGTGTGTGTGTGTGTGTGTGTGTGTGTGTGTGTGTGTGTGTGTGTGTGTGTGTGTGTGTGTGTGTGTGTGTGTGTGTGTGTGTGTGTGTGTGTGTGTGTGTGTGTGTGTGTGTGTGTGTGTGTCAGGACAGAGGGCTGTACAAAGCAACAAAAAAAAGCTAGCCTCCGACTGGAGGGATTACAGCACGCTGTCAATTAAATCGATCCTGACTCAATTAGACCAGAGAGAGCAATGTTAATTTCGTCAATCAGAACTATGATGAAAAATACTTGTCAACAACCTTTTTCCTGACTAAAACTATGACGATAACGAGATGAGATGCCCTGGAAACAATTACAAATTAGTTTTAATTTTAGTTGACAAATGTGACGAGACGACAATTCCACATGAGACGAATGGACATTCAATTTGACATGAAGCTCTTTTTCATCTTTTTTTGTTTTCAATCCTAAGTGTTGCTGCAAATGCGAGATGCGGTTGCTTTTTTCCTGTGGGAAAAATGAATGCTATTTTTTGAATATTAGGAGTACAGTAATACCGGGTCCTCTCCAAATACTACCGCTGCACCATCGAGAGCATCCTGACTGGTTGCATCACGGCCTGGTACGGGAATTGCTCCGTCCACGACCGCAAGGCCAGCGTGTGGTGAAGATGGCTCAGTAAATCACTGGGACCGTGCTCCCAACCATCCAGGACATCTACTTGAAACGATGCCTGAGGAAGGCATGCAGCATCATCAAGGACCCCACACACCCCAGCCACGAGCTGTTCTCTCCCTTACCGTGGGGCAGACGATATCGGAGCATGAGGTCTGATACCAACAGGCTCTGAGACATTTTCTATCTACAAGCTACCAGACTGCTGAACAATTGAACTGACTAACCACCTGCTCTGATTCTTTTCACCTTAGCACACATGCACTCACTCATGCACACACATGCACACGCATATATATATATATATATATATATATATATATATATATATATATATATATATATACAGTGAGGGAAAAATGTATTTGATCCCCTGCTGATTTTGTACGTTTACCCACTGACAAAGAAATGATATGTCTATAATTTTAATGGTAGGTTTATTTGAACAGTGAGAGACAGAAAAACAACAACAAAAATCCAGAAAAACGCATGTCATAAATGTTATAAATTGATTTGCATTTTAATGAGCGAAATAAGTATTTGACCCCCTCTCAATCAGAAAGATTTCTGGCTCCCAGGTGTCTTTTATACAAGTAACGAGCTGAGATTAGGAGCACACTCTTAAAGGGAGTGCTCCTAATCTCAGCTTGTTACCTGTATAGAAGACACCTGTCCACAGAAGCAATCAATCAATCAGATTCCAAACTCTCCACCATGGCCAAGACCAAAGAGCTCTCCAAGGATGTCAGGGACAAGATTGTAGACCTACACAAGGCTGGAATGGGCTACAAGACCATCGCCAAGCAGCTTGGTGAGAAGGTGACAACAGTTGGTGCGATTATTCGCAAATGGAAGGAACACAAAATAACTCTCAATCTCCCTCAGCCTGGGGCTCCATGCAAGATCTCACCTCGTGGAGTTGCAATGATCATGAGAACGGTGAGGAATCAGCCCAGAACTACACGGGAGGATCTTCTCAGTGATCTCAAGGCAGCTGGGACCATAGTCACCAAGAAAACAATTGGTAACACACTACGCCGTGAAGGACTGAAATCCTGCAGCGCCCGCAAGGTCCCCCTGCTCAAGAAAGCACATATACAGGCCCGTCTGAAGTTTGCCAATGAACATCTGAATGATTCAGAGGAGAACTGGGTGAAAGTGTTGTGGTCAGATGAGACCAAAATGGAGCTCTTTGGCATCAACTCAACTCGCCGTGTTTGGAGGAGGAGGAATGCTGCCTATGACCCCAAGAACACCATCCACACCGTCAAACAGGGAGGTGGAAACATTATGCTTTGGGGGTGTTTTTCTGCTAAGGGGACAGGACAACTTCACCACATCAAAGGGACGATGGACGGGGCCATGTACCATCAAATCTTAGGTGAGAACCTCCTTCCCTCAGCCAGGGCATTGAAAATGGGTCGTGGATGGGTGTTCCAGCATGACAATGACCCAAAACACACGGCCAAGGCAACAAAGGAGTGGCTCAAGAAGAAGCACATTAAGGTCCTGGAGTGGCCTAGCCAGTCTGCAGACCTTAATCCCATAGAAAATCTGTGGAGGGAGCTGAAGGTTTGAGTTGCCAAACGTCGAAACCTTAATGACTTGGAGAAGATCTGCAAAGAGGAGTGGGACAAAATCCCTCCTGAGATGTGTGCAAACCTGGTGGCCAACTACAAGAAACGTCAGACCTCTGTGATTGCCAACAAGGGTTTTGCCACCAAGTACTAAATCATGTTTTGCAGAGGGGTCAAATACTTATTTCCCTCACTAAAATGCAAATCAATTTATAACATTTTTGACATGCGTTTTTCTGGATTTTGTTGTTGTTATTCTGTCTCTCACTGTTCAAATAAACCTACCATTAAAATTATAGACTGATCATGTCTTTGTCAGTGGGCAAACGTACAAAATCAGCAGGGGATCAAATACAGTTGAAGTCTGAAGTTTACATACACTTAGGTTGGAGTCATTAAAACTCGTTTTTCAACCACTCCACAAATGTATTGTTAACAAACTATAGTTTTGGCAAGTCGGTTAGGACATCTACTTTGTGCATGACACAAGTAATTTTTCCAACAATTGTTTACAGACAGATTATTTCACTTATAATTCACTGTATCAAAATTCCAGTGGGTCAGAAGTTTACATACACTAAGTTGACTGTGCCTTTAAACAGCTTCGAAAATTCCAGAAAATGATGTCATGGTTTTAGAAGCTTCTGATAGGCTAATTGACATCATTTCAGTCAATTGGAGGTGTACCTGTGGATGTAGTTCAAGGCCTACCTTCAAACTCAGTGCCTCTTTGTTTGACATCATGGGAAAAGCAAAAGAAATCAGCAAAGACCTCAGAAAAAAAAGTGTAGACCTCCACACGTCGGGTTCATCCTTGGGAGCAATTTCCAAACGCCTGAAGGTACCACGTTCATCTGTACAAACAATAGTACACAAGTATAAACACCATGGGACCACACAGCCGTCATACCGCTCAGGAAGGAGACACCAACGTACTTTGATGCGAAAAGTGCAAATCAATCCCAGAACAACAGCAAAGGACCTTGTGAAGATGCTGGAGGAAACAGGTACAAAAGTATCTATATCCACAGTAAAACGAGTCCTATATCGACATAACCTGAAAGGCCGCTCAGCAAGGAAGAAGCCACTGCTCCAAAACCGCCATAAAAAAGCCAGACTACGGTTTGCAACTGCACATGGGGACAAATATCTTACTTTTTAGAGAAATGTCCTCTGGTCTGATGAAACAAAAACAGAACTGTTTGGCCATAATGACCATCGTTATGTTTGGAGGAAAAAGGGGGTGGCTTGCAAGCCGAAGAACACCATCCCAACCGTGAAGCACGTTGGTGGCAGCATCATGCTGTGGGGGTGCTTTGCTGCAGGAGGGACTGGTGCACTTCACAAAATAGATGGCATCATGAGGAAGGAAAATTATGTGGATATATTGAAGCAACATCTCAAGACATCAGTCAGGAAGTTAAAGCATACTTCCAAAGTTGTGGCAATATGGCTTAAGGACAGCAAAGTCAAGGTATTGGAGTGGCCATCACAAAGCCCTGACCTCAATCCTATAGCACATTTGTGGGCAGAACTGAAAAAGTGTGTGCGAGCAAGGAGGCCTACAAACCTGACTCAGTTACACCAGCTCTGTCAGGAGGAATGGGCCAAAATTCACCCAACTTATTGTGGGAAGGTTGTGGAAGGCTACCTGAAACGTTTGACCCAAGTTAAACAATTTAAAGGCAATGCTACCAAATACTAATTTAGTGTAGGTAAACTTCTGACCCACTTGGAATGTGATGAAAGAAAGAAATGCTGAAATAAATTATTCTCTCTCCTATTATTCAGACATTTCACATTCTTAAAATAAAGTGGTGATCCTAACTGACCTAAGACAGGGAGTTTTTACTAGGATTAAATGTCAGGAATTGTGAAAAACTGAGTTTAAATGTTTTTGGCTAAGGTGTATGTAAACCTCCGACTTCAACTGGACATTCATGCTACACACACATCACAACTGCTGCTACCAGACTCTTATTAAACTGCTCAGTTTATACACTGCCCCCCCCCCCCTAAAACACATGTAAATATTGGACTGTAAATTGTGCCTTCCTGTACTATACTTATGCTAAAAATGTATATTCTGTTCCACTGAGCCATTTACTTTATGTTCATACTCTTATCTTTTATTATTTCTTATTGTTGCATTGTCGAAGGAACCTGCAAGTAAGCATTTTGTTGGACGATGTATACCATGTGTATCCCGTACATAAGACTAATAAAACTTGAAACTTCTGGCATTTTTGTAAAGCTGAATTTCTCCCCTTTTCAAGGAAACAACTGTTATTTACCTCCTTGACGGTTATTATGTGTAGAAAATCAGAGCTGTGAATTGTTTAACCTGTAGGCAAGACTTTATAGCCTATGTAGTTAATTATGGCTGGCATTGGTTACAATCTGCCACTATTAATGTTGCCAGCTAAGGTATATGACGGGATAGTAGTCCTAGTTGGAAAAGGATATCTGAATGTGCACATTATGGAAGTTAGAGGTAGCCTAATTATTCATTATTTAATATTTTAAAAAGCACTGTCTATTATGTGATTAAAATGGCTGTGACTAAAACTAAACAAAAATTGTCCAGAGTTTTAGTCAACTGATAATAACTAAACCTAACGAAGGGTGAAATGACTAAAATGTGACTAAGACTAAAATGTATTTTAAGACTAAAACTAAGACCATAACTAAATCTAAAATAGCTGCCAAATTAACACTGGACCAGAGAAGAGATGCAGGAGAGGAGAGGGGGAGCACCCCCAAGGATGAGGGAGGGAGGGAGGGAGGGAGGGAGGGAGGAATTCCAGATGGAGACGATGATGACGAAGATAATCTATTCTGCCTCCTCCCTCTCCCCACCCCCCGTCTCTCTCTTTCTCTCTCCCTCTTGTTTGTTTTATTGGTAATGAGGAAGGTTGTTATATTTGGGGAACCACACACTCTAACAGCACATTTGTCTCCCCCAGTGTTACTCCTGACATAGCCTGGTGTGCCAGGTTCCAAAGCTCTGTTAATAACACCATATCACTGTCTAAAGATGGACGTACACTCAACACTGTAATAATACTCCCCATCCCAGATCCCGGGCCAGAATAGAGGATGACTACTGAGTTACACTGGTCAGGTTATTTAAAGATGAATTGTTCATGTGATAGACAGCGGGAGAGTGCAGTTCGTTCAGTCCCTCTGTGTTAACTCCAGCTCTAATGCCAGACTGCCAGCTATGGGATTGGTAAGGTGTGCCTGTTGCCCACCATTTGGCCTGCACTATACAGGGGATCGACCTGGCCAAAGCGCTATGCAGAGTCACTGATCTACAAATCACACCAAACGGACCATAGATCAGTGTTGTGTAGGTGTTGGTGGGCTTGCATTGGCTATTGTGTGTACTGCTAGGTGATGAAGGTAAATTGAGGGGGTGATATATAGATCTGACCCTGTCTCCTCACACAGTCAGACAGTCATCTGACTGACTGCTTTAGTGGTGAGCTCATGTTTGCTGCCTTTCCCATCCATCTCCTCAGTTGCACAGCCATGGACATTGAGCATGCGCGTCCCAGGTTGTCTTTTTTTGCACAGCACGACCGTGGAAAAAGACATCCTGAAATGCCACCACTACAATTCCTCCACCCAGGTTAGCTGTCCTGCCTGTGACTGTGCTGAGTTACAGACTCAGAGAGTTGAGGTGGCACGGGCTGAGTTGATGGATAGATCTGACCCACTCCCCTCACACACTCACACTCCCCTGGCCTACTGGCTAGATGGCTGCTGGAGAGATGAGGTCATACTGTTTGCTGCGCGCCTGCCTGTTGTCCACCTCTCTCCCTCCCTCCAGCAGTGCTGCACAGCAGGGCCTGCTCCTCTGGGTCATAGAGCCCCTTGTTTGTCTGACTGGGGTGTTGTTTATGGAGGGTAGGAGAGGGAGGTAGGATCCTATACAGAAGGGTGAAATTACAAATGAACTCTGAGCTCCTTCATTTGGAATTGATTATGGCAACTTTACATAATGCATTAGTTGTGGAATGACTTTGTAACAGGTGGCTATGTGTACAGCCAGTCACATAGTGGTTGCCTAGAGGCCGGCAGGTAGCCTAGTGGTTGAGCGTTCGAAGGTGAAAAAGGTGAAAAATCTATCGATGTGCACTTGAGCAAGGCACTTAACCGTAATTGCTCCTGTAAGTCGCTCTGTATAAGAGCATCTGCTAAATGACTAAAGAAATGTACGTAAAATGTTTACAGTCACCATGACTAGGTTCTCCATAGCTGCAAGTGCTTACCACAGGTAGTTCCTCTGTTATAAGGCTGATGTAATGTGGAGTAAGGTCCTCATTTCTGTACACTGACGTTAAATGAGAAACAGGTTAGACCAAGTAGGGAACTGACCAGTGTCTTTCTGTCCTCCTGTAGGGAACAGATCAAGCGTGTGAAGGACTCTGATGACGTACCCATGGTGCTGGTGGGTAATAAATGTGACCTCCCGGCACGTACTGTGGACACGCGGCAAGCACAGGAACTGGCCCGCAGCTATGGAATTCCCTACATCGAGACCTCGGCCAAGACACGACAGGTACGCTTCCACACACACACACACACACACACACACACACACTTTCTCGTTTTGACCATTTCAAATGTTCTATTGGTTAGGTCCGATGTGATTGCCGTTTCCTTGGTGATACCGATCCGCCTTTGAAAAGCACACAAGATTGATGTAGTTCTGAAGGTGTGAGTGTGTTTGCAGATTTTATGTAGTTCTGAAGGTGTGTGTGTGTGTGTGTGTGTGTGTGTGTGTGTGTGTGTGTGTGTGTGTGTGTGTGTGTGTGTGTGTGTGTGTGTGTGTGTGTGTGTGTTTGCAGGGGGTAGAGGATGCCTTCTACACACTAGTCAGAGAGATCAGGCAGCACAAGCTGAGGAAGCTCAACCCTCCTGACGAGAGCGGACAGGACTGCATGAGCTGCCGCTGTGTGGTGTCATGATGGAGGTCAGTCATAGACTCAGCCCATTACCGACTATCGCAAGCAGGGAAGGGCAAAAATTACAAAATACAATTACAAAATACCATAAAGATCAATGTATCAAAATAAACGACAAAATACTTGTATTTTGTAATGTATCTGATGTAAAATACATGTATTTTGTATTTTAAAATACATTTGCAAGGAGCCGGCCCATACAGCAACAACATTCTCAGTAACGGTTATAGAAACATTTTACTTGCTATGACTGTGATATGTTGTTGTTTATCAACCTTAGTTGAATGCACTGACTGGAAGTCACTCTGGATAAGAATTTCTGGTAAATTACCTAAATATATATATATGAACATACCAAAATGAACTGCAAAGCACACTGTATTATTATTTGACCTTGTTTTGGGCCGGAGCTCATTAGAATAATACTCAGCATGCTTCGCAATTGTTAATTTTTACATATACATTTATATTTAATTCATTTAGCAGACACTCTGATCACACCATAGTGCAATCAGACTTCTTATATGAATGAAGGGTGAAAGGAGGCACACAAAATTGTGAACTGTAAAAAAAAAAAAAATAGGTATAGAAAATACAAATTCTCAAAATTATCTTGTTACAAAATTCATTGGAGTGTAGTTCAGCCCAGTGTAATACAAATGACAAAATACTCAAAGTAATTTAAATACATATTTCAAATACATGTAACAGAAATACTGCCCATATCTGATCGCAGGAATAATCAACAACATAGTTCACCCAGCACAGCCAGAGGAGGACTGGCCACCCCTCAGAGCCTGGTTCCTCTCTAGGTTCCTTTCTAGGGTCCAGGCTTTCTAGGGAGTTTTTCTTAGCCACTGTGCTTCTGCATTGCTTGCTCATTGGGGTTTTAGGCTGGGTATCTGTATAGCACTTTGACAACTGCCGATTTGTAAAAAGTACTTAAATAAAATACATTTGATTGATTTATTCACAGCAGAGATGCTGAGTCCTTACACAATGTCTTAATAATTTATCCTTCTCTTGCACAGCTCACCAGTTCGGGGTGAGGGGTGGACCTATGGCGCGTAGTGGCAGCATGGACTTGAAGACTGACGGTGGAGGCTGAAACGACAACAACAAACTTTGAAACTAAAGAGGACGGTCCAAGAAAGGCAGAGCAAGCAGATGCATCACCAGGCTGTCTGTGTACCATAGACATTGGGGAGAGGAGTGCCTTGCCCCTGCCAGGCCAGGCTGTGCCATGCTAGTCTAGACTAGGCTGTCTGTCTGTCCCCTCTTTGAGTCCATGTCTGCCAGAGCAACACCACTAATGACTGTTTTTCTCCAGTGTGATCATGCTGAGCATCTCCAATGAGTTCCTGCGAAGTTATTGTTTTAGTCTCAACACTGGTCTTAAAGAGGGGTGCCACCAACCCCTGGTGATTCCTCCCACCTCCTCCTCACACCTCAAAACCCAGATTTTACATTAGACCCCCTGAAAAGAGTAGACAGTAGTAGCCTATATCCCCATGCCTAATTAACCTCCCCCAGCCTCCTTGTTCCTCTCTAGAGGGGCTCTGCAGAAATCTCATTATTATGGATACAGGTAGGGGACAGAGCATGATACAAGATACACCACATAGGAATGGTGCCTTTTTTTAACAGTTAGTCTAACCGTCAAACCTACCTTTATTTTCTTCTTAAAACACATTGTTTTTGATATGTGACTTTTTGTGATTGAAGGTTTTGAAGGTGATCATACTCAGCGCTGTAAAGTAAGTCAGGATGTTTATTTTGTGTGATGGGAGGTTGCCATTTTAAGACCTGTCGCCGTGAGGAAGTCCTTATTTTGGGTCCTTATGTTGAGAGGATCAAACATATGGATGGACTCATTTTCCCAGATTGCCATTGCCTTCCCCCTCGCAGACTTGTGTGTGTGCGTGCGTGTGTGTTTGCTAAAGGGTTCTCTTTGTGGAGTAATATAGTACTAGATAGTGTCGGTTCCGGTGCGATAGAAATGTTTACTGTCTGACTAGGTTTAGGGATTGGGAATAAACCATCTCTCATGCCTATTGATTATTTGCTTGTATTTCTTGGGTGGAGAAGTGAGTGGTACATGAGTGATGTTTTACTTGCTGTTGCCTTCAAGGTTGGGCTGTATTGTTGGTGGGAAGGATGGGAGACTAACATCATTGCTTGGTCCATGCAGTGCCATTATTTATCATGGAATGGTTATGCAGTGAAAGATTCTTGCACAGATTTTCAAGGAAGTGGAATAAAATACGCTTTGAGTTTGATTAAGTGGTATTATAAGACACCGGTGGCATTAATTTCTTTCAAGTTCCTTTGCTTAGATAACTTTATGGTGTTTAGTATACTTTGACAGTTCTAGATAGCAGGTATCAGTCTTCACTGTGTTTTTATTAAGGCTCAGGAAATAGGAATGTCCGGAAATGTCTCGCCTTTTGATCCTGGAACATAAGATAGAACGCCAGAATTTCAACTTCACAGATTGTAATGCACAAGACCTGCCTTAAATGACTGGTAATATGTGGGATAAAACTGTTGTTGTTTGGCCACAGAGAAAATAACCTTCTCTCATTCTACTCACTACTGCCTCCTCAGATAGATCTTTGGTTCCCTGAGAAGATCATTTGATTTAAGCTAGTCATGTCTGAGCCAACTTCAATTGAAAGAAAAGTCAGTGGAAAACATTCTTCATTTTGGGGGTTCTCTTGTGATATTTATCAATATTGAATGGTGTAGGTAGGCCTACTAGCTTTTGTGTTCTCTACAACACTAACAGCAGCATTGGGCTGCCAATACAAATGAACACTGCTTGGTCCTGTTTAAATTGCCTTATTTGTTAGCTTGTACTTCATGCCTTGTACATGTTAGAGCAGTATGTTTTCCGGAAGCAGGTGTTTCTGTGATGGTCTGTGTCTGCTTTCCTCTGTGGATAACTGTCGTTGTGAATGACTGGTGGCGATTGGAGATTGTTTGTGCTCCTTCTTTCCCTCCACAGACATGAGGAAAACAAACTCTGAAACACTCCAACCAGATGTGATTCTGTACCGCATGCCCTGTCTGAGTAGTTAATGATTGTTTGTGTTTTAGTCCAAACCAAGTATGTTTTATGACTCCAATCTTAATTCATTAAGTGTTCGTAATTTTTTTACCATAAGGGCCACTTTCTTTTTATTTCCCCCTCCTGTTTTTGAAGGTACTTACCCCCAGTTCAGCCACAGTGACCCAGTAGTACATTGTGGTGCCTCATTAGACCTCCGTCAAATCCAAGTCAACACACCTTGACCTCTTGCCTAGAAGATAGACCTTAACGTTGGAAAAAAATATTTTTATTTTGTTGCTAGAAATGCTTAATTTCACTCGGACCTTTTGCTGCTATCATACATGTGAGTGGTGTTCCTTAGTATATGTACAGTACGTGCTCTTGTATGTGGTTTTCCAGGAGCTGCCCTCCCTTTAATCTCTCCCTCTCCAACAAACACTCTGCTGAATTACCCCCCATCTTGCCTGGACACAATAACACCTGTTGGCATATAAGGGCTTTTTGACCTGCACCCTCTACCATGAGAGGGCCCTGCAGTCAGACAAGACTCCCCCGGATCCTGTCACCTTTCCTGGGTTGCTACCCTTCATATGACCCCTTGGATCCAGGGGATGGACAAACTGTCATTGAGGGGGAGCTGTGATTGAAGGATGAAGACACTGCACACGGGCTTGGTACCATAACCTCAGACAACAGCTACTACACTTATTCTGGCTCTGTTTGGATAGAACACCTCCACTGCGTTGTGTGGACCACAGATTACATTCTGGAGCTCTGAGGGATTCCGAGACTGGGACAATGTTGGTCTTGTATGGGTTTATTCTCAATCAATTTATTGTTTGTTTTTTTGGGTCAAACTGATCAAACTGTGAAAAAAGGTGCATTGTAACAGAAAATATAGTTTGTTCTATTAATATAGGGCACTCCATAACCGTATAAAGTAAATATATTCCGTACCTTGAAAAATATATAACCAATCTTAAATAAACGTGGATCTTTGTCCCCATAGTGATCTACTGGGTAACGGTAAACAAATCACACATGATATCTAACTTGTATCAGGTGGACCTCTGGTGATAGACATGTACTGTACAGTTGTCTGAACTATAGTTGGCAGTTATTATTTTCTATTTACCATTTCCCTTGTCTGTCTGTACTATATTGTACACTGACTGACGGGCAGTGATGGACACACATCTAAAGGTAAACTCTTACAAACTGGACATCAGTTGTCATCAAGAGGAATACAAGACCAGCAGGCCACTGGTAATCATGTCTGAATGGAGGGGAGTCTTTCGGGGACAAAAACATGGACATTGGGGGGGTTTTGCCCAAGTACTGAAATCACATAAAGGGCTTGCTTCTCCCTTGTAAAACTGTAGTTTGAACAAGCGAGAGAGGACATGGGTTTGGAAGTTTGATTGTGAAAAGATCAACTGTTTGAACTATTTAAGATGTATTTACTCTAACGAAATAGCAAATGTACAGCAGGGCAGGAATAAAGATGTCAAGATAAACTCATTCACCTGACTCTGACTGTAGTTATTTTAGCTACCATCTCTCTCCTCTCACCCCTCAGTCCATCTCTCCTCCTCTCGCCCCTCAGTCCATCCCTCTCTCCTCCCCCCCCTCAGGCCATCCCTCTCTCTCTCCCCCCTCATCCATCCCTCTCTCCCCCCCCCCCTCAGGCCATCCCTCTCTCCTCTCCCCCCTCAGTCCATCCCTCCTCCTTTCCCCCCTCAGTCAATCCCTCTCTCCTCTCCCCCCTCAGTCCATCGCTCCTCCTCTCCCCTCATCCATCTCTCTCTCCTCCCCTCATCCATCTCTCCTCCTCTCCCCCTCAGTCCATCTCTCTCTCTCTCCCCCCTCATCATCCTCTCTCCTCTCCCCCTCATCATCCCTCCTTCCCCTCTCCTCTCTCCCTCATCATCCTCTC